GTGCTAATTTGATATTTCATATCATGGAAACAAACCCATGTTTACTCTGGGAATGATGTGTTAATTATTTTATTTTCGTGGGGTGCTGGCAAAATGAAAGTGAGCCAGTTGTTGGGGGTGAGAGTGCTGAAGGTCTGGATGAGAGAGAAGGAGGCAGCGCTGTTTTAAAGGCTCCTCGACCTCAAAACTCCCAGCTGTCAATCAGCGCAGCCGTCCGTCCCCTGGGGCTGCGCTTACCTCCAACCCCTGGGGGGGGGGGGGGGGGGACGACTACCGCAGGGGAAAAAAGAACACAACCAAACAGATGCAGAGAGCTGCAGGTCAATGTGTGTGTGTGTGTTATATTTTTGCCCGCCTGTGGATTCTTATTAGTGCGCATGCGCCTGAATATGTATTTGTGTATAACTTTATTTGAGGGTGAGAGCTGCATCTGTGTCCATGTGTGTGCATGTGTGTGCGTGCGTGTGTGTGTGCGTGCGTGCTTGTGTGGGGCAGATTTGTGAGGCGGCCAACACCTGAGGGAGGGGAGTTCTGCCTGCATATCGATGAGCCAGCAACTCTGCCTCTTTGCCCCTGAGCCCTGCTCAAACACCACAACCAGCTCAGGGCCAGTCCTTTTAAAAGCCTCCCATAAAGTGTAATGCAGCTGCCCCCCCCCCCCCCCCCCCACCACCACCACCAGCCAAAAATGAACAAAAGAAACATATGAGAAGAAAAAAAAAAAGCCTAAAATAAAAAGATCTCTCCTCCCCTAAAGAGAAACACTGAAGAGAGATGCTGTCAGCCTCAGGGTGTCATGACTCCAGCTTCTCTTTGTCTTGAAGGGAAATGTACAGCTAGTGATAGGTGGTTAAAGACACAATAGAAAAGCAGCGATGAGAAACAAGCGGACAAGAGGGGGGAAAAGAATGACTATCCTGTATAATACAAAAAGAGGTCCAGGAAGTGGGACGTCACAAATAACTAATAAAGAGCTCAACAGACGTCAAACACATCGGCAGATTCACTGACAAGAATGTGGGATAGCTGCACTGTAAGTGTGTTTTCACCTTCTCACTAACAGAGTCATGGATATGAAACTGAAACTAAGCTGAGGGGACGGAAGGCGCTGCCAGTAAACCACATTAGCATCAAATGCAAATGAGAAGGGGGCTAATGGCTGGACAGGTGCAGACTGGGCCTCTAAATGACACATACGCACACACATCGCAGGCAACACACACACACAGATGAGATGGATGAATTAAACATGGGTGGGCTCGGCTTGGGGGGCTGGCAGGGCTGACATAAAGTCAATGACATACATTATTCACTAGAGCACGTTAGCCCAGCCAAGGCAACATATGACCTCTCACCCCAGGAAGTGCATCCAAACATAACAACCAAAACAATGAGGGGGTTCCCCACTACAGAGTGACAAACAAGCAGCGCGGCAAGAGGCATCGGCCTGGAAAATGCAATCCTCACAACACTGAAAAGTTGACTTCCAGATGTGTCGGGTTATCTGGTGGAGAACCAGAGCAGGTGTCGGGCTGCGGAGGGCGGAGATGAACCAGAACCTGCTCCACAAGCACTAGCTACCCACCGTGAAGCAGAGCCGCTCCGTTCCACCAGCTCGGAGAACAGGAAACTGTCGGCCATGACATCATCCTCCCCGGGAGGAGCACTTCCTGCCCGACATTCTTCACTCAAGACACACACACACACTCGCCAGGAAATGGCCTCTATCAACACACACACACTCCTGGGGAAATAACCAACATTGATGCGGATACACAAGCACAGACACGCATGCAAGGAAATGGGCCACATCAACGGCAGGCTGCAGGAGTGTGTGTTTGAAAACACACTCAAAAACAGCTATAAACCTGAAATAACACTGTCTGTGCATGTAAACTTGCACAGACAATGGGAAATGCAGGGCCATCCAGTGGATCCTTATCACTGGTCACAGAGAGTTTCTCTCCCCCCTCCAGAGAGGCTCTCCCTGCCTGGGTGGGGGACACCCTGCGGCGGGCCTGGGGGAGCTGGCCGGGCAGGAAAGGGCCACGGGACACAGGTGGGAGGAGGCGTGAGAGGACACATGGGGCCGGAGGGACAGTCAAAGCGAGTCAGATTTGTCCTAAATTATCAGGATGCAGCAAGTAAATTAAAAAAAAACAGATCTGTGTGGATTCAAGAAAAGCTATGTGGAGGAAAAGCAAAGGTGAGAGGGAAATGTGCTTGTGATTTGAGGCCCATCCAGGCACATGATAGTTTGACTAGCAGTGACTGCATATGATTAACCCCACACTAACCAGGAGTGATGGAGAGAGGTGGGAGTGGAGGTGGGGGCTCCCCTCATATTATCCTGCCTCTGTAAGAGGCTAAAGTGGACCACACATGTTTCCCCGGGGAAGATATAGAGAGGCGCACATGAGCTTCTCACCTTTCAGCTGCTGCCCCTGGCCAGTGTCAAGCGCAGACACAACACATCATGCCAAGGTCTCTCTGAATTACCAAGAACCCCCCTCCTCAAAGGTTAAGAGCATACATTATAGCATGAGTTGTCTCTATCTTCAGGACTGACTCATTCAAATCAGATGGACTTAAAGAGACACTCAAAGGGATGACAACGCTACAAATTAAAATACACGTTGCTGCTACCATGATATAAACTATAAAGCTCCTGAAAACAGGACAGATTGTGGGGAAGGTTTTTTTTCAAGTTGAGTAAAAATCTAAGAAATGTTAAAGTGCTTTTTGCTATCAGCTTAAACAAATATGCTTCATAATTAAAATCTGCATGGCATTGGTCCTTGTAGACGCTCTAAACCCCAAACAAATTCTCTTTGCAACAGGAGGTGAGGTGAAGGGACGGGTGAGGGAGATTCTCCCGGTGAGAGAGCGCAGCACCCAGAGCGCTGCAGATCCTCACTGTACCAGATTTGTTCTCCTAACAATCAAATAAGTTTCTCATTAGCTGACTTTATTTTTCCTCATTCCTGCGGTTTTGCTGCAGTGGCCTGTTTCTCCCGTCTTAACGAGAGAGAGCTAATTAGGCAATCAGACCCATTACTCTTCCAGAAGAGTTAGAGCTAGCCCAGCTAATTAGGGCTGTAAAATCTAATCATCTCTGCAAAACAGCAGAGGGCTAACGAGCCCTTATTTAACGAACTAAATAACTTCAAGGGTGGAGAGGGGCTGTTGATGGTATTTCTTTATGAATTTGAAGGAGGGGAACTCGTGGTAATTGAGTCAGTTTCACCCTCACAGTTGTTTGTTTGTTTATTACAACTGCCAAGAATATATTGGTACTAAATGAGCAAACGTATAAACCCACCCTCCTTAATTCCCCTTCAGTCCCCCCCCTTTAAAGCGAGCCAACCCCTCTGTTCGCTCTCCTCTCACCTGACCTATTTTCCTGTCCAGAAAGAGAAGAGAGAAAGAGCTGGAGAGGAAAACAGAGATATTGCTGTTGTTTTCCCTCCCCCTGTTCTAATTTGTTGTTCGTTAATGCTGCCCTCACACCTGAGCCATTGGGCGTCGAGGGAATACCGCCAGCGAGCGACCACAACACATGCTCAGTGCGGGAAAGCTGTTCAGAGCAGAGATCAGCCTGTTTCACCAAGGTGCCTCTGCTCAAACTGCGGCAAACTGAAAGGGAAAGTTTAACCGTACGGCGAAGCGAGGATGGGTGACAGATGAGAAATTCAACAAGTACGCACACATGGCAAACAAAAAAAATCAAAGATATGGCACAGAGTGATGGGCAGGCGTGTTGTGTGAGGCCACGTGGCGGGGTGCAGCTGTCTCAGGGAGCGCTGAGGTGAGGCCTTCCGCTTCGCTGGAGCGGAACAAGGGTGGCGCACACACAAACTCGCACACATACACGCGCACACACACACACACACACACACACACACACACACACACACACACACACACACACACACACACACTCAGGTAAAGAGTGGCTTTTGACAGCAGCAGCGAGCACAGGACAGCTGTGTTCATCAGATAGCACAGGTCACTGCTTCATTAACACTAACACAAATACACTCAAATGTGACAAATTCAAATCAGACATAACACCTAAATGACCTACGATGCACGACATGACCATGCATTTGTTTGGATAGGTTGAAAACAAACAGAAAAGGAGATACTTAATGGAGAAATCATTTACACAGCCTCCAAGTACAGCTTTTAATCTGCACGCTGCAACTACTGCTCAAGTATAAACAAATCATTTCCCTCACACTGTAGGTCTGCATTATTCACACACGTGCACACAGCACAGGCCCGACTGTAAATCTACACACCGGTTTTTTCAACTGACAGTAAATCAGGCGAGCTGCTGCATCATTCAGAGGTGGTTTATGACGGCAGGAGAAAGGTGTACACTTGAAGAAAAGTGTGTGTGTGTGTGTGTGTGTGTGTGTGTGTGTGTGTGTGTGTGTGTGTGTGTGTGTGTGTGTGTGTGTGTGTGTGTGTACAGGAGTCTGCCAGTGTCAAAAGCGCTTCAGTGTAAAACAGTCCAGATTTATACACAGAAACACACACACACACAACCGCCAGGCTGTAGCTGTAACCCTAACTGCTCATCAGCTAAGTCATCAGCCCAACCACACAAACACTGTTTGACCACACTTGAAGCAGAGCTCAACTGCTCTGTGATTGCTTCTCCACTTCTCTCACACACACGGCATATTATTTACTGCTGTTTCACACATTTTGCACACACAGACGATTAAGGTTTCTGTAATTTTAAACGGCCTGCGGCCTGTCTTATTAGACGTGCAGGTTCTTTTTTTTCTCAGACAAATCAAATGCTTCCATTTGTTAACTCCACTTATATGAAAATGTTGTATATGTACGGGTTGTTTCTGCCACATTTGCTACCAGTGTATTCTGCACAGCTCCTATTCTGAGCCACAGGCAGCTGATGTGCTACACTTGTCTCTGCGATGACAGCGCCACATCACATCGGCTGAGGTCAAAGGGCAAAGTTTTCTTACCTGTCGATGATGACAGGGTCTGATGGGGTCTCGTTCCTGTTGCCACAACTCTTCTTATCGCAGCATCGACTGTGGGGAGGGGGGAAGTAAAGACAAAGCAGAGTTAGTCACTGAGATGTAACACAGAGAAATAACGATAAGGTACATCACAGAGAGGGAGAGGAAGTCAGATGAGGGTGCAGGGAAGAGAAAGAGGAGTAAAAGGGCGTGGGACTTTGGCAGAGTTTTAAGAAACAATGTGAATTGGATTTCTGCCGGGCTTCCCGAGGTAAGACCGGGGCTCTAGCGCTACAGTAGGTGAGATCAGCGGGGTGATTTTTTGGAGAAGTTTTGAGGAGGAGAGCTAAAGCAGTGAGCTTGAATGGAGCTGGATACAAACTTGAATTAGCCTCCAGGGCTCAGGTTAGCTCAATTTCTGTCAGACATCACACAACCAGACATCTTATGTTCTCTATTTTTCCTCAGTGCTCGTCCCCTCCCTCTATCCCGCCTCTCTCTCTCTCTCTCTCTCTCTCTCTCTCTCTCTCTCTCTCTCTCTCTCTCTCTCTCTCTCTCTCTCTCTCTCTCTCTCTCTCTCTCTCTCTCTCTCTCTCTCGCGCTTTTCTCTCTCTCAGAAGTGGGTCACAGAGTGGTCCCACTGGACCTGGGGAGTAGTGCATGCTGGGTAGAAGGGGGTTGCATACTGATGTGACGAGTCCTTTCTGAATCGTTTGACTGCAGCACAATATAACAGTGTTGTTGTGTGCCGTCAGCCCCCCTATATCCCCCAGAAAGTATCACAGCGTCTACCTTTTCTTCTCTGTCTGTACCTGTGTCTGACTCCATGTGTGCTTCTACTGTACATGTGTGTGTGTGGGAGGGGATGGAGAAAGACACAAAAGAGAGGGAGAGAAAGGGGGGAGACAGATTGACCCTCCCCCCTACTTTCTTGCGTCCCTCAGGACAGGAGGTTTGGAGAGCCAGATCAGATTTCTGATCTCGACCGTTTCCTGCAGCGTATGAAAACAAGTGGTCTAAATGGCCTTGTGTGATAACCAGGAAGTGGCTACACTTTGCCACTGGCTATATTCTCTACATGTAACTCTACATGTATTTCTAAACGGCTGGTTTGTATGGGGGCAACCACAAACTTTGTGATGCTTTTATTGATTGTAAATGCACGCACAGGCCTGCAAAATCACTACGCTTGCTTCTGTATATTTGACTGTGCAAGTGTCTGTATTTTATGTGTAATCCGAGCCTGTCCCCCTCTGCACATAGCTCAGTGTCAGGACACAGCAACATGCATGTATTACACAGACTAAGGAGGATGGGTTTGAGTAATGAGCTTTTCCTTGTCCTAATTAGCTGAACATGAGAGGGATGCACACACACACACACACACACACACACACACACACACACACACACACACACACACACACACACACACACACACACACACACACACACACACACACACACACACACACACACACACACACACACACACACACACACATATACACACATACACACACAGAAATAGGCCAGGGCACATCTTCCCAACCCACTTTGAGGAAAATTATAAGAATATGATTGTAATTGAGCAGTGCTCCTCATGTATTTGCCACCACTTTACACCGACAGAGTCACATCCGATGTGAAATAAGTATATATGTTGATCGGGTACAAAGTGTCAATTGGACCAATAAATGACAGCTATACCTGGGTGTGTCTTGTCTTACCTGCACATGATCTCGTGGGTCAACAGGACCCGACACATCTCTGGGTTTTTATCCTGGCCCTCATAGATAATCGCCTGAAGGATGGAGAAGAAAAAAAAAGAAATCACAGAAGATTCAAAATAACTGTGATTGAGATTTTTTTTTAATTGGCATGTGAAAAAAGGGAGCCATGATGCAGGGGCAAATTAAAAAAAGAGAAAAAGTGTGTCTCTTTCATCTGGGAGTAGTTTTGCCTATCTGGCAAATGTGTGTGTCGTGGGAATCCAGTCCTCCTGAACAGGAACGCTCTGTTCTGACAGAGACAGTTAAAGAGAAAGTGTGTGTGTGTGTGTGTGTGTGTGTGTGTGTGTGTGTGTGTGTGTGTGTGTGTGTGTGTGTGTGTGTGTGTGTGTGTGTGTTTGTGTTGTGCATGTGCGTACTCCTGCAATTGCATATGTGTTAGTCCGTGCACGTATGTTTATATGCTGTGTACAGTGAGCAGTTGGACTGCCAGACTGGAGTATAGTGCACCATCTGGTCCATACAGCACAGCGTCCAAAAATCTAGTCTGGTTACCCCTCCAACCCCACTCAACATGCTCTCGAGGGCTGTGATCACCCTGCACACACACACACACACACACACACACACACACACACACACACACACACACACACACACACACACACACACACACACACACACACACACACACACACACACACACACACACACACACACACACACACACACACACACACACACACACACACACACACACACACACACACACTGATAAACATGCCAACACACGTGCACAAACACACACGCACAAAAAACATCCCCTCCTACTCCTTTCATTCTAAGGCAAACTCTCTTCAAGCCTAATGGCACTAGAGGCGGAATTGGCAAAACAAAAGACCTGATATCAAAACAGCGTTGAAGGGGCTTATTTTCTGCGTGTTTAAGTCATCCGTACGGAGAATTCCCTCAGTCTGCGCCAGCCCACATGTGCTGCTCTGTATTTCTTTGTGTGATTGAATTGGCCATAACACACTCTGGGATAGTTTGTTCTGTTCACATTGAGGAAATGAGGGTCAAGGTCCTCAAAGAGTGTGCTGGCATGCATCACTGTCTCTCTCAAACAACCGCTTCTGCACCTCGCTGAAATATTCACACACACACACACACACACACACACACACACACACACACACACACACACACACACACACACACACACACACACACACACACACACACACACACACACACACACACACACACACACACACACACACACACACCGCCTGGTGCTTGTAAAAACACACACACATCCACACACCATCCCCACTAACTGGCTGCTGTGCAGAGGTAGAGTATGAGGACACATGTCCTCTACTTTTCTGGGCCCCTGTAAATGTATTCCACAGGTAAGACAGGTCGTTTATCAAGCCGCCTGTGCTGAGCTGAAGTTGAGGGTCTCAGACACAGGCATGCAGCGGGGGAGGAGGTGGAGGAGGGGGGCGGTTGGTTGGAGGTAGGGGCAACATTCAGACCCACACAACCCGCGAACGGATGCACGGGTTCACTCTTTAAACCTGTAGTTTAATGCAGACCTCTTACCTGTTTAGTCATAGAGTCGATGAGACGAACATACAAGTCCTGCTCAGTCCTGATCCCTGCAGAGACACAGAGAGAGGGAAATGATTCAAATGTGACCGGCAGGCTTTACTTCACATCTGAGGCAAAGCTTTCCCCATTCTGGGGGATATTTCAGATCACAAGTTGTACTCAATCTGAAGTCTCCTCTGAGACACTTATGGAAACCGATTGAGCCCGTACTGTTAGTAATGACTTTCTGTATGTGTTGCATGCTGTCATTTTGCTTGAGACTTGAATTTTTTTATTTTTTTTTATTTATCCCTGTTGATTTTATCGCTAAAAATGTATTAAGAACTTTGTAAATGTGCACAGCAGGGATGATTGCATTATAATCAAGATTATTTAATTATTCAATCGAGGCAACAAGACTACAAAAAAAGAATCATTAAAAAGTAAGATGGCAAACATTTTATCATGCTGCCTTGGGTTGTTTACTGCTGACCGGAGAAGATCTATTTAATGTAGGAAGCTCCAAGCAAAACATAATTATAATTATAATAATGCAAACCTAAAACTAATAAGTAAATAAGAATCATATTGTGGTAATTAAAATAATGTGTAAATAACATTTTAAGCATTTAACATAAAGCATTACTCATTCACGATTAATTAAAAAATAATACATGTAAAAAACACGATGTGACCTCTTAAGACATTTGTTTCCCGAGTTTCCTCTCGTTGCTTTGGCGTATCATTCACACACTGCTTTTGTTATTGCTCAATAAAAAAAATGATGGAAGCTAAACTCACCGTTACTGTAGAGGAGCTGAAGCCTATAATGGATCCCATTGTTGGTCTTTTCCCCCGTCGTTTCCTATGAAAATTAAAGCAAGCAGAGCCGGTCAGAGCAGGCATCTCCTCCTGGGACTCTACTGCGCGTCCACAACATAGCACACGTTTGTCGAACTGTAATATAATTTAAATTACTTCGATATGACATCCACGCAGACAAAAGAAAGAAAAAAAGTTTGAAACTTGAACTACTTTTCTTTACATGTTTTGATGAAATATAGCGTAACACGTAATTTCTCGAAAATCTGACCTTTTGAAAAAATAACTGTAATATAGAACTCTTTTCAACTATATTTACCTAAATTAGAAACGGAAATCGTTTGAAAATATTACCACAAAGGTTAAAGATACAATAATATTATTTATATATTCAGTAAATCACATTGTGTACGGTATATAATATTAATGTGTGTTAATACTGACACACAGTAAAATGCCATTTGGATCTAATAAACAAGTCAATACAAGAGCTGATGAATAAAACAAGCATTTAAAGTAAAACACTCCCATTTACCGCTACTTGCAAATAGATCAATATTACGCTTGATCGACGTATCAAACACGAATATTGATGGTTTTTTGGAAAATGAAATATTGTGTCTGACAACACCTGCAGAAATAAAGCAACCCGCTGTGCTCAACTGACATACGAAATATTAATAATAGTGGCAAAAGTGTTAATTCACTTGATTTACACCTTTACGTAAATTAGTTCAACATTAACTTCGAAGGTTCCATATTTATAAAGAAAAGCTAAGATAATCAGAAGTGTGTAAATCTTTCAGGAAACCACATCTAAAAAGCCTCCAGGACCCATGATCCCTGCTGTGTGCGTCTGGCCACTTTGTTAACACACGTCTGGTAATTTATCACTTTGACTTAACAACCAATATACTGTGCATTCATCAGTCGATGCTCCGCTAAAATGCACGCATTACAAGTTTATTTTAAAGATTTTATTACAAACTGTCATGTAGTGATTTGTTTTGGGTTTTTATGAAATGTGCAAACTCACCTTATCCTTCTCTACAAAGTCGATGTAGGTGGTTCTCTCTATTTCCACCGGCTGGCCCTGTCTGTCGTACAAAGCCAGCACGAAGTGGAAGAAGTTGGACTTGCGAAGATTGGAGGGCGGCTGTTTCTCGAAGTGTGCCCGAGCCAGACCCACTCCGCTGCGGACACAAGCACAAACCAGCAGCAGCCACCACGGAGACAGTTACAATTATTTAATTCAATTAAATTGCAACATAAATGAGATTAGCTTTAGAATATATAATCTACAATCGCCTATGTTTCAGTCACTGTCCATTATAAAAACCTTAAATAGGCTACATATATGGCATAATTTAATTAAAACATCTTTCTAATTCGCTGAAAGGCCATTTTAAGTTTAAATCAACAATCATTAAACAACTAAGTACAAGTTTTGAGCTACAGGCCTAAAACAGTTAAAACATACCAATGTATTATTCAAAGATAATTTTGACAAATAAATTGCTTTGGTGGCAGGAGGATACTGTCAATAGAAGTGTGATATTTTATTTCTAAATTTAATAAGGAATTAGATTTTTTGGTTGAAAAAAACACTGAATTTGAACTGTAGAAATATATGCAAAAAATAACCTCTGCTTACTAAAATGAAAAGCTTAACCACCACCGAAGTAAGGTGAACATCTTAAACTCACTCTCATAGCCCACCAAAGTGAATCCAAGCCTTTCATTTAAACTACAAGCCGTAAAGTGCCTGGAGCTAACTGTGCTTTTCCTCAAGAAATATGCTAAACCACTCTGAGGCACACGCAGTTATTATTTTATCTTATATTTAGAGCTGCAAACTTATAAAAGCCAGCAGGAACAGTGGTTATCCAACTGTACGTCCTCTGGGAACGCGAGCTGCCCCGAGTGATGCAGCCCCTCCGTCTCTAACACCACGGATCTGAACGCGCTCCCCGGTCTCCACGCCCCGGTGCAGCGCAGCGCCAAGGCCGCCTCAGGCTCACCTCTGGGCGGCTGTGTTGGAGTCCAGCACTCCGGCGCCCTGCATCCATGTCCGAACCGCGTTCATCCCGGCCACCATGGGCTCTTCTTTCATACTACTCCCACTCCTCTGGATGCTCTCGTGGATGCCAAACATCAAAACGCACCTTCACACCGTCGCTATCTCTCTCTCACTCTCTCTATATCCTCCTCTCCTTTGCTCCCTCCTTTTTGTCTTCTTCCTGCCTTCCCTCCTCTTGCGTCTGTTTGATCGCACTGTCAGAGGAGCAAAGTGGCGTGGTCTATTTCACTTGGCGTTTAGTTGCGCGTGTGTTTCTCAAAGTAAACAAAAATATGCGACATGTGGAAGGAAAAGGGGAGCTGTCAGCATCCAGGGTTAGCTGCACCTCATGTCAGCGACTCCACAAGAAAAAGAGGGGGAAGCAGCGGCAGCAGCAGCAGCTGTGAAGATGAACACCGTTGAGAGCGATGAAAGGGGAAGCGCAGGATGAGAGGCTGCACTGAGTTGGCGGCAGTCCCCCGGATCAAGGTGCAGCTGACAGAAACACAAGCAAAATGTCACTTTTTTCCTTGCAAACAGTCCACGGTGTGAAGGAAAACCAAGGAGATGAAACACGCTTCGCTCCGTCGTTTTATTTACTTCTCCTCTGTTCAGATGAATGAAAACGGGAGATTACGCGCAATTAAGAAGCAGTCCTGGGCAACAGCGTCTGTTCCACTCCTCGTCAGCTCCTGCTCCGGTGCTTTGCGCTCTATTCTTCCCTGAGGGATCACTTTGGACCATCTCTGGGATGCCAAACAGGAGAGAACTAGTAGGTGAGGGAGGCGTGGTCTAAGCGAACGGGGACGCCCCCAAACACAGTTAATAACACGGACAATCAGCTGTCCACCAACCCAGACGAGCACGCTGCCCGCCCGCCTGCCTGCTGTCCCCGCCTCGTCCCAGCGTCCCGCCCCGGCCACTTAGTCAGAAGCTGTGCACAGGTCGTATGTGTGTGTGCGCTCATGTTGTCTTGTGCATTGACAATTAACGTATATCAAACATCAGCTCAGGGGAGTACATTAGTTTAATCCACGCAGTTTGCCCACTGCGACTAAAGGGCAGAGCGGAGAGGAGCCCGGGGGTGGCGGTGCTGACATCCATCCTCTTCTGGCTGCGTTTGTCACTCGATCTGCTATGGAAAAGTGCCCGCATCTCTGCAAAACAAGACGGAACAGAATGCGATTAAATGTTTACAAAAGCATTACACAAAGTGGATATTTGTCTCATTATTATGTGACAAAAACACCAACAAACAGTTGAGCATAGTTGCAGTGTTTTGTGCAAATTTAATTTTGCTTTCTTGTGTCAAATTAACTCAACAGCAACAAACGAGTTAGGAATTTTCCACATTGTGCATGAGTGTTTCTACGATCAAATAACTTAATTTGAGCATTTAAAATGACATTTAAATGTACTTTCTCGTAAAATCGGAATCAAACGCGTTGAGCAGTCCAAGTGCTCATTCAGAGTATCAACTCTGGCAGATTATGAGCTTAAGAAAAGTTTCAGCTCACAAAAAGCTTGGCAGTCTCTGCGAGCATTTTTCTGTTACAGCCCGATGGTTTGAAATTAGCTTTGATTAGATGCATTACATAAATCTTGTGGGACTAAGTGCTGAATCCAACATAAATATGAGGATTACAGCTAAACTGCATGTGTCTCGCTGTCCAAAGAATTTGAAAACACTCGAAAGTAAGGGCTCAAAAACAAATAAACTAACACAAAATGGTGAAATACAACATTTGCATGGACCCTGAAACTGCATGGTGAGCTCATGAAACAGTGTCGAACCCAGGTTGCATGAGAGCATTTCTTCCCCATGCTGCCATCCGTTCTGGTTTCCCCCATCATTACAGAGTCATTTCTAAATTGTCAAATCGAATTGTCTGGGGGCCATCTGTTCACAAGTCCTGTTTGGTTCATTGTAATGAAATGGAGCAAGGAGAGAGTCAGTTTGTTTTATCAGGTGTGCATCTTTGAAAATTAAGATTTTATCAGCAATGGTTGAAATCAGTTTGACACGTTTGGATCACAGATTAGTAAAGCTGCCTCAGGAAAAAGTAAAATAGTATTACAGAATGCGCAAATGTGTGCAATATAAATACCATTCTGTAATTTTCAAAGTCTGAAACTTTTTTTTTAAGCAATGATATGACATGTTTTGAATGCATATACATGCAGCCAACAGACTCGGACATTAGAGTCTCAGCAGTCTGATACATGCCATAAACGGTCAAGGTTGGACACCACTCCCCTGCAATCATCTCATTATTGTCGATAGATGTTTATTTATGTCTCCTGCTGTGGGAGGGGAAATGTGAGCACCCCTCCACGTGAGCACAATATTTAATAAATAGTGATAAATAAAAAGCGACGTGAGATAAAATGTCTCTCACATACGCGCACACACACGGTCAGAGACATCTTTCAGCACATTTGTCTGATTGTGGCCGGCTTTCTCGCCATGATCCCGTCTGCCTTGGTCGGCATGCGGGTCAGCGCGAACACTCGAGGCCTCTGGGGTGGCATATATTTATATCCCCGAGCACCAACACATACTGTTAGCCCAAATATCACCGTCTCAGTATCCAAAAACAGAGATGTCAGATGGGGCCCGATTATCCAGCATGTTAATACTGTGATTTACTCAATGGCACCCTGGAAGGGTTGCTAAATATTCCCGGTCATTACGCACAGGCGGGAATGCGCGCGCCATGTAAACGATGTTAAGGCGTGTGTATGTATATGACTTCCATTCAATAGTCCACATATGGGATGGCGATTAAGATTTTCCTGCGTTATAATAGACATTTTGAAGCAAGTGATCAGAAAGGAGAGGCGCCTCTTCTAGCCGCCAGATGTTCTCGTAAATCAAAAGGTTGGGCTGATGATAATAATGGCCTGATTGAATTGAAGACTCGTAAAAATGACTAGTTGTAAAAAGCAGGCATATGCTTATGAGAATGGGCCTTATGTCTAACAATATGCTCTCTAGTCGACATAAAAGAAGATAAATATAGATGCTAACCGTTTAAATATGTCGACAAGATAAAAGAAGAATGTCATTTCCTTGATACCTATATAAAATACGACGTTATCATAACAGTGTGTTAAATAGTTTCTAAAGCATGGAAGGAAGTACTTTTCTGCTATTAAACTGAATGAAATATTAAGATTTTGGAATAAATCAGGGGCAAACTAAGATAAAAGTGTGTATTAGTAATACATATCACACATGCTATAAATTATGTTTAATTTCCCCTGGCTGTACAACACATCTGTGGCACTTTCCCATGATGACCTCTCATATTTCACTTCAGGTGAATTGAAGGCCTGTCAGCCAGAAATCTCAGTCCCTGTATTTGGTGCAATGTTTCCATCTAGTGGCCTTAATATGACATTGCACGATTATAAATAAAACATGTTGTGTCCAAGTTAAATCACTATTGTCAAATGTAGCACTTGCATAGTAAGTGGAATGCAGATAAATGTCATCTGTACAAGTTTCTCTGCAACCATTAACTAACATGGTCAATACATGTGGACAAGGTCTATGAAAAAGAGTATTCAAGTTGTATTATATTTGATATTGTAGGCAACATCTGAGGATGAACCTTCAATCAATCATGTATTCAGTCTAAATCTGTTGTTGTCTGAATGGGATTACCGACTCCACTTCAATTTCTTCAATTGTTTTTCTTTCTAAATGGAAACAAGTCTTTGTTTTGAGGGGAATGATGGGAAGGAATGTACAGTTTTTGTGGGAAAAAGTTACCAATGTAATACCCTTTGAAGACAGAAGTGAACTTCTCCATTTGCTTTAGAAAGTTCAGATATGTGTCTAATTTCAAAATGACTACAACATAGGCTTTCTTTGTCCTTACCTAAAGGTCAAAACAAATGACGTTAAATGGCTTTAGCAACTCTGCTGCCGACTGCTCCCCAGTTTCATGTTCCAGAAACAATTTTAGCCACACAACTATCACTTCAGCAAAGAGAGTTAAAAAATGTTTCATAGGTGGCGACAAAGGACTGAGAATCCATTGACTATTAATATGCTGGGTTGATGGCTGCGTTAAAACAATAAAACACTTTGATTACATTTGTACCCTTTGACGTCCTTTAATCTGAGACACACTGCGGTTTGTTCCAGTGAAATCATGTGAGACATGCGAAACAATACATCATTATAGTGTGACTGAAGCCAAGGTCACGGCTGACTCATCAGAACTCATAATGTATTAATTGCCTTTATGGCTGTCTCAGCTTTAGATTTTTAGCACAGTACAACATAACCACTTCCTCCATTATTTTACATGGCTAGCTTTGTCTCGAAATTGTGCTCATGTAAATATGTGGGTCTTATAATTTAGATTATCCAATTAAACACATAGCTGAAACAATTGTTTTAAATAATATTTAAAGCAAAAATTCCATGCTGGTTTTGTAAGATTTTGATTTGATACATTTTATGTATCAAATATAATAACCTTAATATCTTAGCATGATAGACTCTATGCATTACATTAATGCATACAATGTACAACAATATCTGTTTTCTTTTCTTATTACTGCCTTATTTTTATTCCATATTTTATATTAGTTATATTTAACTATATTTTTAATATTTTTTTCTAGTTCTCTGTGTTTTAATTGTTGTTTTACTTTTATGAATGCACCACGACACCTAGTCAAATTCCTCGTAAGTGTAACCATACCTGGTAATAAACCTGTTTCTGATTTGATTCTGATCTTAAGGTTTTGGACTCTTAGATAAAAAAATAACTAATATGTCCCTTTGGGTTTTGGCAAACTGAAATAGGAATATTTCACTACTTTCTGACAATTTACGGAGAACATGATTACCGGTTTGACAAAACAAAGATGAATCCATAATGAAAATACAATAATTGTTATTTGCAGCTTTACTGGATATCCATTAGTTCATTTCAAAAGACAACATGAAGCTGGATGACCTTACAATGATCAGCTCTATCATGTAATTTGAAAAAACGAGATTTATTAATGGACACACTGATACAGAAGATCTAATGTAATGTCACGTTGAATAGTGCCATAGGGCGTGCATTACAGCAGTATCAGTATGTTCTTCCCCTATTACATTCAGTGGGAACTGGAAAATGTGTCATGTGCTCTCTGTAACATTAAACCAACAATAAAAAACTTTCTGGGAAAAGGTCAGGAGTGTTGGGTTAAACCTGCAGTATGTCGGCCCCTGACTGTGCTTACATCACTTAACCTCTTCTGCTTTCGCTGAAGGGGAAGTGAAGGTTTACCACTATGACTTGGAAGAGATTCTCACTCTTCTGTAGGTGTGGTGTTGTTTGTTTGGGCATTTCCAACACGTGATGTGGTGTTTTGGGAATATACAAATCTGTGTAATGACTTTGCTAAATAAACACTGGATTTGAAGGTTACTTGGATCTGCTGTGTAAAAAGACACCATCTTGTCCACAATGTGCATAGGATTTAAGGTGAAAAAAGTGTAAAGATCTTTAAATATCTGCTTTGAGAGATGCAATAACACATTTCCTATCCTGTGTTTGCCTGGTATATTTATTTTATCTTCTGAATGATATGACATTATGTGATTAGTATGATTATAAAAGAACAGAATGCAGTTTGTCTTAGTTTAAATTCCCTTTGCCTTACAACCTGTCCTGATGCAATGTAAAACTCGACTTACTACATACAGTGGGGCAAAAAAGTATTTAGTCAGCCACCAATTGT